AGAACATCAACATTCTAAAAGGCAAATGTTAGCTTTTGTCCATCTTGATCATGGGCTTATGTTGAGAGACTGTCAAGTAATGTGTTGGAATTGGGACACAAAATGTCTATTTCCTAATCTGCTATTTTGGGAGCTCTTTAAATAATATGAGGTTAGTTTGTATGGCATGTCTGACTTTTAGAAAAGAGCTATCTCTAGGACACGATGTGGGTTCATGTTGTGTTTGCAGATTGATCTATTATCAGTCCTCCGCTGCTTCTCTCATTTCTCAAATCATAGATGGTAATTTTGTGGTTAGAGCCTTCAGGTGTTAATTCCTCTGTATGCTCGGCTGCAACTTGAGTGCATTTAAAGTAGCTAAATTCTTCTTTTCTGCATTCTCAGGTTTATTTAATCTCTTGGATTTCAATTAGAATTTAGATTTATTTTTGCTCTGTTTTTATGACAGGGCTTATTGTGGCCTTTCAGTTTAAGTATCTTTCCCGGTGTGGAAAATTTTAAATGTAGTTGTCTTTGATGCAGTATGTCTTAAAAGCCAGAAGGTGGCGATGTTTTCCAGTTAAGATTTCAATTCCTTGTAGTTGCTGGAGCAATGTTTTTGAAAACCACTAGAAAGAGGACCAAAAATACAGATAATGTGTTCTTGTCCACAAAATCATTGAGTGTGGAAGAATGTGTTTTAACTTCTATGATGCATTTTAATAGAAAGCTAGAAATATGCCACTTTCTGAAAGGAAGACAGCTACAGTTTTAATGTTTGCTTTTTAAGAAAATATTTGACAAGTCAAACTAAGCCATTTACTTGAGAAACAGGACAAAACACCTGATCAATTTATGTCTTAATATTAGCCCTTGGGCTGTGGGCAAATAATTGGTATTTATATTTACATCAAAATGGGAACAACTATTTTTCTTATACTAAACCTCATATATATATATGTATATTTGTTTTTTAAAAAAGATCCAGACTTTACCAAAAAAAGAAATCAAAAAGAAAAGGCACTCTGTTGTGCCAGGTCTCTGAATAGAACAGATATAACTACAGAAGTGCATATGTAGATATATAAACCAAAATAAACTCATAATTAGACATACAATTTTTTTCTACTCTAATAAACATGGATCTCTGTCTATATCTGTGTAGCTTTTTAATTTAAAAGCTCCATTTAGTAGTCTGTTTTATAAGACTGTACTGTACTTTATTTAACTGGTCCATTTTCATTGGATATGCAGGTTGTTATAAATAAAATTGCAGTATATCATCTTATTTATACTTTGCTCAGTTCAGTTATTTCTTATTGTTACCAGTTGACTGCAGTTCCGCATATATGCACATTTTAAATTATCTGAATACACATGGCCAGAGTATCTCCTATAGAAGGTTTTTGTACCAAACTATAAAAGAACACTGATTTACTCACACCTTCAACATTGTTTGATATTTGCCAATATAAGTCAGTGGAATCTTATTTTTTTAAGTTAGCATTTCCTCAATACTAGTAAATGCAAAGAACTGCTAAATAAATAACTGATTAGTCCAAGAAAAAATCGAATTTTAATATCGTTAGCATCAAGGGATAATGAAAACACATGTCCAACTTCAGTCACGTCTAAGGAACTGGGTTATAATTGTCTTAAATGTTCATATAAGAAAAAACAGTTAAAAACTAAAGTATCCAACTTAATTACTTTCATGTAAGAAATTAGAAAAATAATATATTAAATCTGTGGAAGGAGGAAACAATGGACAGGGGCAAAAAATTCGGTAGAGAGGATCAGCTGATAGTTTGTTCTGTGAAGAAACCAAAGTAGAAAAGCCTTCCAGTAAGATTAACGAGAGCAATAAAAAGCAGGAATAAATGACACTAGAATGAAAAAAGGATAAGTAGGCTATAATAGACTTTAAAAGATTATTAAGACAGCCATGAAGAATCGTATGCCCAGTAAATAATTTAGAAGAAATGGAAAAATTAATTTAGCAAGACAGATTTAAGAAGAAAACAGAGACATGAATTATTTAAAAACTCTTAGAAATTGAATTAGTCTTTAAAAATTTATCAAACAAGAGACAGTCCCAGATAATTTTCAGGTAACCTCTTCTAACCTGTCTTCCAGAGAATTAAAAAAGAAAGAGGAAAGAAATAAACTACCTTAAATTGTCTAATGAGCCTAGTATAACCTTGATGCTCAAACCAGATAAGGACAATACAAGAAAGGAATGTCACAGGCTAATTCTACTTAATAACATAGATGTATCAATCCTAAATGAAGTATTAGCAAACCAGATCCATCATTAATATTTAAAAATCATGAATTAATTGGATTTAGGGACATAACACTGTGTATGCGTAATAAGTTTAAGAGAAATATATGAGAATGATAAAACCTCAATTGAAAGTAGAGGTTTTCTCTGGAGGGAACATTGAGGAGGATGTGGTTTGGAGAACTGCATGGGGAAGCATCAGTTGTATTATAATGTTTATTTTTTAAGCTGAATAGTAGGTACATAGATGTTCATTGTGTTCTTTTTGCCTTTTTGTATATCTTGAATATTTTATACTATAGGGCCATGGTTATCAGGCTTAATAGCTTTGTAGGTTTAAATGTCACTTTCAAATGCTATATTTTTGGTAGAGTTGCTTAAACACATTCCCTTTGGAAGCTATACAAACCAGTGTAAAAAAAAAATCATGTAATAAACCACCACGAAATATAATGAAGCATACTGTATATGCGTTTTCATGAATGTTGTGTTAAAGGACTTGTAGGAAAAAAGATTGTTAACTCTTTTGCATTCAGTGAAAATAGGTGGCTTTGAAAATAAAGTTTCAGCCTTGCTAATAGGTTTTTTTTCATGCTGAGAAAAGAAATAGTTTGGAATTCTAGGTAGAGGAGAAATTTAATATAGTTCGGAGGTTGAAATGTTGGATTTCATAGTGTTCATACACCAAATAATTGAACATTTACAATGTGTCAGATACAATGTTGAGCCATGGAAATGTATAGACCTATAAAACAGTCTTTCATCTCAGGAGGCTTAATTTAGTAGGGGAAATAGGTGATTCTGATGTTTAAGTGTAGGTATATCATAGTCATAAACAATTTGGAATATATATTTCCTTTTGGGAATTAGTTTCCATCTTTCATTTAGCTGTTTTGTTGTTTTTCTTGTTTTAATTTAAACAAAGTGGTGTGTGTGTATGTTTTCAAGAATAACCTAAGCCTTTGAACTACTAATATTTAGTCGGGTAGACCACTTTAACCCATCAATAACTTATGTCACTACACTTAAAAATACAATTGATATGGTAGGCAATCAGATGCTTTGTAGAAATTGAGATTTGTCTGTCTCATTGGACTGTCATTCTAATTATATTATTGAAAAGGGATACATCTATTTAACTTTAAAAAGTAAATCTTTGGTAATATCCAGCTCTGTTCTCTTGTTCTACAAGACAGATGAACTGATTGCAAGTGGGTCTTTTTGCATACTTCAAAAAATGTGCCCTTTCATGTAGGTTGCCTCTTTTTAAAAAGTAGTGACTTTTTATGTCACATCTTTAATTGGAAACTTCTTATTAAAGCAATATTTTCTGAGCCTGCTTGTCAGATTACTCATATTATAAAATGTGAATACTTAGTAACTTATGATGAACTATTCTCATGAACTTATTTTTAAGATTTAAGTTGCTGAAATGTTGAAAAATTAGCAATTTTGAACTAATTTCAAGGCTTCTTTTTTGCATTCACACAGATTTGCTTTACCCTTTTTTCTTGACTCAGTTTTACTAATATTGTCCTTAGTTTTGTCCTCTCAGGCAGAACTCAAAATAGTAAATTCAGAATAGAGTAGAACTCAAAAGTAGTAAATCTGAGTCAATTTGTTTTCACCTGTTTGATATAAAAACAAGTCTGTCATGAAATAGTAAATTTGGTAGTTTATTTGCATGAAGTTTCCTGTTACGTAGTTGCTTTCTGGTAGCTCATCCTCAAGGGATGTGCAACAGCTAGGATTAGGTTTGGCTGTATATCACAGAAATTCAACATGAGGGAAATTGATTTTTCTCTCACACTCATGAGGTCTAGAATTAAGAAGTAGGGAGATAATAAGGAGATTCACAGGGTAAGGGGCCCAGGCTGCTTCTATCTTGTTGTTCTACCATCTTCATCCTCATTGTCTCATGCTCCAAAATTGGCTACTTGAGCTTTATCCAGCCTATAGACAGCAAGAATGAAAAAGGGCAGAAAGATAAAGGAGCCCTTGCTGACTTAGTTGGTTGCTCTGAGTAGACTTCCCGGAAGATACATAAGCATTTCATTTTATGTGTCGTTGACCAGAACACATTCAGGTGGCCAGTTGGCTATACCAGTTGTTGCTAGGAAAGCTGAAATCTGTAGTATTTTATTTCTGCCACATTGTACCCAGCTAAGTCTGGCAAACTCTTAGCAAGTAAAAGTTACTTTTTAAGGAATGAAAGGCCTGGATTTTGAAGTATATTGGATGTCATGGTAGCTTTTTTTTAAATGGCATTTTTAGTGGGGAGAAGAAGGGACATGATTTTTGTTTGTTTGTTTGTTTGTTTTGCTGAAGTCTCGCTCTGTCGCCCAGGCTGGAATGCAGTGTTGCGATCTCAGCTCACTGCAACCTCTGCCTCCCAGATTCAAATGATTCTCCTGCCTCAGCCTCCCGAGTATCTGGGATTACAGACATGTACCACCATACCTGGCTAATTTTTGTATTTTTAGAAGAGACCAGGTTTCGCTATGCTGGCCAGGCTGATCTCAAACTCCTAACCTCAGATGATTAACCCACCTTGGCCTCCCAAAGTGCTGGGATTACAGATGTGAGCCACCATGCCTGGCCAGGGACATGATTTAATTCTAATAATAGTTGAAAAATAAATAGAGATTCATTTTTTACATTTCAAGATTGTTTATGAAAAGCGAATTAAGAGAACATTTAAGTTTAATGACTTTATTTTATTTGTTTTATTTCTCAGGATGTGATCTTCGTGGTGAAAAGCTAAATTTTTAAGCCACCCCAATGGATGCAGACAGTGACGTTGCATTGGACATTCTAATTACAAATGTAGTCTGTGTTTTTAGAACAAGATGCCATTTGAACTTAAGGAAGATTGCTTTGGAAGGAGCAAATGTAATTTATAAACGTGATGTTGGAGTAAGTATTTGAGTTTTGATATTTGTACTACATAAGCCTAATTTTATAGTTCTATGAGTGATACTAAAATGTATTCATTCTACAGGTAGTTTATGAGCACCTTACCATGCGCTAGTTGTCCTGGATACAGAAGTGAGCCCTGTAAAAGCAGTCCTTCATCTCGTGGAGGTGCAAGCTTTTGTACATAGAGTGCCTGTACCTGAATTAGCAAAGAACTCGTTGGTTACAGAGACATTTTATTGTTCTCTCAGTTTATTTTAACCGAAGAAAGGAACCCTTATATTCTCACATATACCCATTTCAAATATTATTATATTTGAATGATGCCTTAATATACAATTGTTATATTAATTATCATATTCTTTTTTAATTAACCAACGTAGATGGTTTTCTTTCATAACAAACTGCTGAAAATAATATATTATTAAGATAAACTGGATAGCTTGAATTTTAGTTTTTGTTAAACATGCAATATTTTAAAGCCTGAATATTAATAATGAGCAAAACCTTAGTGTTTTGAGATTAACATTATAAAAGATATTGAATGTCATTATAAACCAAAGATTGATGAGATGGATATACATTTTATACATTTATTATGAAAATTAAGAATGTATCTCAAGGCTCTATTTAGCTCAAACAATTAGATGCCCAGGATACCTACGTAAATTGTCATTAATTCTTAATACTAGAAACTAAGTAAAGATGTGAGTCTGCCCAGATTAATAGCTTTCTAGTTTGATAATATGGCATGTGACAGAGAACGAAGAACTTAAAATGTAACAAAAATTTTAAGCAGAAACATCTGATTCATTTATATGTTAGTCAGTAAACATTTATCTCTTTCTTACATAGAATGGACTTTAACAAATATTTCCATTAATGAAAAGTTGCAATGAAAATTTAAATTTGCAGGTTGTCTTGGAGCTTAGTCCTTGAACTATTTATACTCACTTTGTATTTATTTCATTGTAACCCATAGCTTTAATGCCTTCCAAAGCTAATTAATTTCTTCTCCAGCTCCAACATGTCTCCATTACTCAAGATGCCCATGTTGAACTTGAGTATGTAATAAGCATCCCAACTGTAGGATGCAATATAAAGTAGTGATGAGTACCATGAAGCAGAATAAATTAGAAGGTTATGAAGGGGTGGGTATTTCAGGGAAATGGTAAGGGAGCGCCTCTCTTCAGGAGGGGACATCTGGTAAGAGACCTGAATGAAGTGGGAATATTGAGGGGAGAATATTCCAAATGAAAGCAACAGCTACTGCAAAGCGTCTGAGGCATGAACAGATTTGGTGTGTGTGAGGAGCCATGTAAGTTCCAATCATGTGACTGGAGTGGAATGAGAGTTGAACTGTTTATGTACTTGGAGTACATTGATTTCAAGTATATAGAGTGAGATATTTCTGTACACCTTGTATTTTTAATTAATCAAATGTCTTTTTGGATTAATATGTTCTTTGTGTTCAGCATTGTACTTGATTTCAGAATGGGTGATTTGGAGAGCAGTTATTGCAGTCTTGGATAAGCTTGGAGTAGTATTTAGACATTAATATGACTGTATACAACAGAACCATATGTGAAAAGTAATGCTTATGAGGTAATCAGATTTTTTCCCCCCCCAGAAAGTATTAATGAAGCTTAGAAAACCTAGAATTACAGCTACAATTTGGTCCTCAGGAAAAATTATTTGCACTGGAGCAACAAGGTAAATGCTACTTGAATTTTTTATTTTTATTTTTTACTTTTTTCCTCATGGAATGGACATTTTCCTAGATTTAACAGCAAAATTATATGTGAAGTTTGCTGTGTTCCTTAGGGTAAAACTTATTTTCTGTGTAACTGATCATCTTTTTCTTTCCTTAAAACCATAGTGAAGAAGAAGCTAAATTTGGTGCCAGACGTTTAGCCCGCAGTCTGCAGAAACTAGGTTTTCAGGTAACATTTTCAAACACTATCTAAACTACAAATATTGAAGGATTTATTTTTGTAGAATTAAAAATTGTAATAGACTCAAGAAATCACTATACATACTATTCTTACGATTGAACTTTTTCTAGGTTTTTAATACTGCCCTTCAGCATGAAAATTAGTAGCAAAATTTGGCCATGTGGGTATTTGTAAAGGATCCTAGCTTTTTCCCGAATTCCTTTCCCATAAAGAGACTTGTTACCTCACAGGTTAATTTCCTTTTCAACTCTTTTTAAGTTTTTTCGCTTCTGACATACACATACAAAATCAGTTTTGGTCATCTCAAGAATGCCGGGTCAGGATGGTAAATAGAGAACTGCAGAGGCCTGTTGACATGGACACACCAGCTGGCAGGCTCTCACACTTGTAACGTGACTGTCACCGGCATGTCAGCCTTATCAATACGTATAATTTGATAGAGGTATACCTTTGAATAAAATAATTATGTATTATGGACTTGCTAGGTCACTTGCAAATGATAGATAAGTAAAAGATAAAGATGAGATATGGTCCCTCAAGGTGAAGGCAAGGCTGTTTGGGATTGAGACAAGTTTGTAGAAGTGGGGATGGAAAGTTGTGTTTCCCCCTGATGACTGTCTACTCAGTCCTTCTGAAGTAGAGGGTGATAGGAAGAGACTGAATGGCTGGTGCGAGCCGGAGTTGGTGCTTGAGGAGGGAGGCAGTAGAGAGTCTTGAGTTGTGCTGTGATTTGAGAATGCTGCCACTTCGTGGTTTCCTGGCTTTCTGCAACTGCTGTGTGCAAGAGTGAGCTGGAGGATAGTTAGCTCATCTAAAATTGTGATTTTAGGAGGAATGTTTGAAAAATAACGAGATGAAACAGTTGAAGATGCTGGTAGGAGTGGCTGAAGTTATTACTGTTAAGAGAGCATTATTTTCGGCCTTGGAACTTCTTTTCTTAGCATGACATTAGAAGTGTAGAGAGAAATCCCGATTAGTTAAAAACAAGTTTATCACTCTATCCCCAAAAAGAAAATAAACCTCTAACTGATCTTACAGAAATACCATTTTACCTAATTGCATATGATAAAAACATCTGGCTTTTGGAGCCCAGTGTACAGTCTGTATTTACTAACATTCTAAAGTGACATCTTTTCTGTTTTTACTCTAGCAAGATGACCTGGCTTTAAATTTTTTCCCTCATTATTCCTCTTTTCCTAGTAGTTTTAAGTATTTCACTTAAAGTATTAAAAAAAATTAAGCATATAGTTAGAAAGACCCAGTCAGTTTTAATCATGCAAATACCTCAGGTTTTAGTTTTTTTAATGACGTTTTTGAGCTTTTTAAAAAATTGAATTAAAGCTTTCAATGCTACGCAACTTACAGTACTAAACATACACTTAAAATGTTTTTATCTTGTTTGCTCTTGTTTTTAAGGATTGACAATTATTAAGGATTGCCATGATGAGCAGATTTTTTTGTTTGTTTCAAAATAAATTTATTGAGTTTTACTTCTCTCCTAAAGGTAATATTTACAGATTTTAAGGTTGTTAACGTTTTGGCAGTGTGTAACATGCCATTTGAAATCCGTTTGCCAGAATTCACAAAGAACAATAGACCTCATGCCAGGTAAGTCTTTGAAGCAATTTATCTTGATAAATTACCAAATTTGAAATTACTAGTCAGGCTGTAAACACTTATATTAATTGTGGCTTTTTTTGTATAGTTACGAACCTGAACTTCATCCTGCTGTGTGCTATCGGATAAAGTCTCTAAGAGCTACATTACAGATTTTTTCGACAGGAAGTATCACGGTAACAGGTATTCTATTATATCGATACCAAACTTGTCAGTTATGGATTGAATGATACAAGATGCTCATACCAAGGTAGAAATCATGTCTGATTTGTTCCTATCTGTCACTTATGCCCTTTAGGAAGAACCAGTCTCCTGACTTTTAACACTGTAAATGTGTTTTACCTACTTTTGTACTATTTATAAATGTTACACGTATTATTTTGTATCTGTCTTCTTTCACTCAACATTATCTTAGTGAGATTCATCTGTATTATGTTCTGTGTAGTTGTATGTAGATCATTCATTCTTAGATATGGACATTTGAATAGTTTCCAGTGTGGAGCTTTCAAAATATTCTGGTATGTGTATCCGTAGTATGATTTTTTTTTTCAATTTATGATATCTTACATTTAAAATACGAGAAACTCATTTTATAAATTTCACAGAGGTTTTTACATAAGCAAAATATTAAATATAATTGATACCTGTTTGTTATATTTATCTTGCTATATCTTTTGAATCTTTATTTGGAGAAGGGGTTTCAGAAGACTAGGCATTCATGTCAAAGGGTAGCATTAGCATGCTGTGTGACTTTTTAATGGTACTATGATTATTATAAAGTGTACAGAAGCGTTGCTTGAGAGTCAGGCCCAACCTTAGGCAAAAATCAATTAAGATTTCTTTAGTGTCCTTGAGCTTTGTTGTTTCTTTCTTCAGTCCTTAGAGGAAAATAACAATTTAGTCTCTTAACAAATAAACTTTAGTTTTAACTCATCCCATGGGTTTTTCCGTCTTCCTTGGGAACTTTCAAAGCGGATTCCAAGATCCCACCTGAATCTTAAATATGGGACGGCAGAGGAGATGTCTGTTTCTTCCCTTCTTTCTGCTCTCTGTTTCTACACTTTGGAGCCTGGACATCTGAGAAGCTCCAAAGTCTATTAGTAAATCTCTGCTAAGTATGCAATAAAACAATGCATATGCAAAGCTCTGTATTTACTGAGTTACTAGATATTAAAATGATAACAAACGGAAGACAATTGACCTGGTTAAGTAGTATTCATTATTTACTTACACCAGGAATATCCTGTGAAATGTTAGTAATACTGAATTGGTTCCCATGAGCAAAGCATAGCAGTGTGGGGATAAGATGAGTCAGGAAGGACCTGACCAAGACAGGATGTGGTTAGGACCTTTAGAGAGTTCACAGTGGGTAAATTTGTTAGTTTCCTGGGTCTTTCAAAAGCAGTAAGTATGTATTAATGAAGCCATTTTTATTCAAATAAATTTTATGAAAATAGTTTTCATTGTCCTTTTTGTTTCTTTTTAGCTATTTAAATGAAAGATTACATTTTTATAAAGCTGTTCGAGAATTAACATAACACATGGTCACCTCATAGCCTTCTGCTTTTTTTGTTTTCTGTTGATTCCTATAAGCTCTGAGGCTTATGACCGGATTGGTAACAAACATGTGGATACCCAGTGGTGGTGAATCTGTGGGGATTTTTAAACCACAGTAGTCCACGATAGTTTGTACGCAGTTTTTTGTATACTTTTTATTCACTCTGGTGCCCGAAAACAAAGTGAATAACCTCATTTTGTGTTTCATATGTCCTTTAATTGCCCAGAAAAAAATCTGTATTATTTTTGCCCTTATTATGACTATGTGTATAATTATATGTGTAGTTTTTTTAAAAAAACAATTAACTTGATATTCTGTACTACTCGAATATTTTTAATTCTGGGAAATCAGTTTTTCCTAGTGCTCTACTTTCCAACTCTTCTCACTCCTTTCTCCGTTGTGTTTATTACAGGGCCCAACGTAAAGGCTGTTGCTACTGCCGTGGAACAGATTTACCCATTTGTGTTTGAAAGCAGGAAAGAAATTTTATAAGTCACCACTTAATTGGTTAGAATCTCTAACTGAGCACCTTTTAAAACCTGCTGCACATTGGACTCAAAAGGAAAACTGGACCAACAGTAATTGAGGAAATAGACTCTTTTATTCATTCACGGCTACAGTGTAAGCTCCAGTCCCTTTGGATTTTATTCCAAACCTTGCTGTAATATAAAAGGAAGTTTACAAGACATGACATTGCTGCTTTTACAAAAGGACATTCTATTTATTTTCGCAGTAATTCTCATGTCCCCATAAGCAGAGCTGTCACAGTGTGCACTACCTTAGATTGTTTTATTGTTGTCATTGTTATTTTTTTTCCATTTTGAGCTAATGTGTTTTATTTGTGAATAGTCTTTTACATTTTTGTATGCTGAATATGGGCACCAAAGAACCTGTAAAAGTTATCTTTTTCAATTGAATGTGCACAAATAAAAGTTTGGAAAAATCTCTCTTCATATCCATTCTCTAACTTTTATTCCCCGTTTTCTATTTTAACAAAAATTGTGTTCATACTTCTTTTTTTTTAAATCTATGCAAGCTTAAGACTTTGGCTAAAATGTGTTGGCTTCTTTTTGAAGTGCATTTTGTGTGTGTGTGTGTGTGTGTGTATGCACCACATGTGTGTAGTATCTTTTAATGCTCTGTTACCAAATAACAAATATAAATTTTTGTTCTTGAAGATTAGAAATCAAAACGTGTATATAAACTCTAGGGAACCGGAGTAGAAGTTTATAGATAAAGGATAATGTTTTATGTTGCTAATTTAATATGATAGAAAATGTTAAATAACTTGTAAAAGTTAAGAAATTGTAGTTTTAAAAAGAGAAACCTCTTACCCACTAGATGGACATGAGAAAGAAGCTGGGATGAATGGTGCCTCATTTGGACCTTTGTTTTTCCAGAAAGACTCAACACCTGTAGTTGTAGAGAAGTGATTGAGGTTCTTTAATCTTGGGTTGGTGCTCAAGGCTATACTAAGAATCTTGTCAGAAGCTGGTATAACATTGAGCTGTTTTAACAAAAGTGCCCACAAGCCAAGCTGCCTGTGTGCCACAATGTAATGATCAAATAGTCCCACTTGAATTTGAAAGCCATTTTGTGTGATATTGTCCTTCCCCTTGCTGTATCTTATTTAATGGAGTTAAAGAGTGACTATGCAGTATATGGGATTGCTACTCTTAAAGTGATAATAAATACGCATTTATGAAACAGTGTGTCTGGCTCACCCAGGAACCCTGAAGTGGTAATACAGGATCAAGCTGTAGTTGTTCCCTGTCACTTAGATTTAGGAGTTTAGTGTAACCAACAGTAATTATACCGAGAAACAAAGCTAAGTGGAGGGTCCAATTAACTTCTCAGGAGAAACTTAATGGAGACAATATTCCAACACAATGTTCCACAAAAACTTGTATTTCCAAAATGTTTTAAAACCTTTGTGGAAAAATTGCAACATCCTAACCTCCATATATAGTATATTTTCCTTACCATATTGTAAAATCTTGAAAACCTAGCTTAGGCACTGCACTGAATAATACATAGAATTTTTATCTTTTTTCTTCTCAGTGCCTTCCCTAACCTGCTTCTCACTCCCTCCAAAGTAGAAGGCAAAGCCTAACTTACATTTTTCTTTCTTATGAAAGATTTCATTGAGATTTTTAGACTTTTTTTTCCTTTTTTTTTTTTTTTTTAAAGTGTTTATTTCCTTCATTTTAAGATTCAGTAGGCTAGCCAAAGTCATAAATATAGAGAATAAAATGACATGAAAGAGTTACAAGCTCACTGTATTAAATATTTTACATATTTCATTTAGTTTTAATTAATAGTAGTAAGGCACCTCCTGTTTTGCAATGTTCACCGAAAAAAGAAATATAGAATGGGGAAAACTATATAGCCAAGGTAGAGATCCAGATGATGGAACCTTTTTAGTATTCACATGACTTGAAAATGGGGCAGATCAGTAGCTAATTGAAGTGCTTTATCTGAAGGGAGAGGGTAAAGACAGTGTGACCAGGTCAAGGATGGTTTCAGGGCTGCCGAGTGAGCTTCACCTAGCAGTGTCCATGGGTAATTTGCTAACCTTAACAAAGACAGGAAGAAGTGAGTGCTCTGATGTCTTCTGCTGGCTCTCCATAAGTACTGTAAATTTTTTTAATAAATAAAAACTGTGAATGTATATGTATAAATTGTAAGTATTTCCCCCTTTTTATTTTTGAAAATCACAAAGCTTGATTTGGTGTGGGGCAGTGGATATTGGATAAAAATTAATTTGAAGACAAAATTGTTTAGTTACAGACTCGGTAATAAAAGAAAAATAGAATGCTCAAGATACTGAAGTCGAGGTCACTAGTAATAAACCAAGCTAGGTTGATAAACAGTTTCCTGCCCATTTACAATGAATGGCTAAACCAAAGAATACCTAAAGTATAGATAGTGTTTGAACTATGAAACACGGAAGGAAACATGGGGAGAACACACTTTACCTTCTCTTTCCAAAAACAAAAGACAATGCATGCCCTAACTTGCATTTGAAATATGCCATGATAGAACTGAGATCTCAAATCTTTACTTTTAGCTTCCCCCTGCCAATTTTAATGCAGATAATTCACTGCAGATCCAGGCCTTTTAGTCATTCTCCTGAGTCTCTGATACAGTTTTACTATCTTACATAGATTTATAGTCTCTCTGCATTGTTATAAGGGAGTGTAGTATATCATATTCCCTTATATGACATTGAGACAGTTTGTTAGGAACCAGTAGGAAAATTCCAGGCTAAATGAAAAGGAGCTTTGGCTCCTAGTATTCTCTTTTCTTCAGGTTGATCATGTTTTAAAATTCTTTTCCAAGCTAGGTTGTTCATGATTTTAAGTTTTTTGTGTGTCATCCATCACTTACAATACTAGTAATTTAATATGTTACTACTTAAGTGGTTCAAGATTTGATTGTGGATTTTCTATCATCATACCCAAATTTTAGTAGTAAGACATCTTACCAAGTCTTTAAAATCAACTGGAGAAGTAGAGAACAGTTCATCATTGTGTGGGTGAAACCCACATTGCTGGTACAGGTGGCCATCATAGAGAAGCACATAGTGAGGGAATTGTCCTGATGTCTGAATGTCATTTATTATGTCTGCGGTCATCTGAAAGTCATCATCGATTATAACCTGTGTGCTGTAACCTGAGGTAGTGATATTCCTGAGGCGTGTGAAGAATTGCAGGACACTGTGGATGACTATACATTGTCATGAAAGCCTTACAAGGACGCTGCTTTTATAGGCTTGACTTAATAAACTTAAACCTAATTGCTTAGAGATTTGGATAAATAACCTAATGGTCTGACTCCTTTTCTAATATTTTACTAACAGCTACTTCTAAATAAACGTGGTCCCAGGATTTTAAAATTCTTTTCTATGTATTTTTTAAAAATGGAAAAAATGCTCATTTTTCTCAACGATTGCAGAATTCTTTTAATATTTTACAATATTAACATGAAATTCATAAAAGGATATTTTGCATTAAATTGTAGTTTATAATTCATAAAATAAGCTCTTTAATCTTCATACTTTTTGAACTGTAACTAGGAATTACTACTGAAATCCTCGCCGGGACCCTCCCCTAATCCAGGTAGAATATACAGGCAGTTGTCCACACTGTGTGTCTTTCTTACGTGAGACCCAGTGCAAGTAGTGTCTTGGTAGGCAAAAACTGTACCCTCGTGTCCAGGCCACTTGTGTGTCTGAATAATAAAGCTGCGACTGGCCTCCGTTCATATATAGCTTAAGGCAGAGGTTGATGTCTTCGCTAGGATGTAGCCTTTTCAAAGGCTCTGTGAAGAGGGTAGATTAAACCAGCCAGTAGCTTTTTTTCAACCTGATACCCTGCTCAGAATAAGAAAGAGATCACTTAGGACCTTGTACCTCATCTAACTTTTGAGGTTCCTTTTGGCGAAGAGGGGATTAAAGGCCGTCTTTATCATTTCAGAGTATCTCTTCAAAACCGGTTCCATGACACTGAAAAGAATGCACAAGAGTCACAACTATGCATTGGTCCAAAGACCCCCTCCTAAGTGTTCCGGCACTAACCACGTTCAGAAGGTGTTGAGGCCATTAAGTCTCCGAAGAAAGCTGCCTGGATTGGCCCCTACTACACAGCTTGTTACACTCCAAGAGCTGCTCCTGCGGTTTTCTTTTTTGAGGCTGCCTTGGCATTAATTCTTCTTGGTGATGACTCATAAAACAAATGTTGTTTTTCACATAGTTCCTGAAAGAGAAAGAGGCACTAATGAAAATGTCATTCTTAGTTTACAGTACATGAAAAAAAATGTGTAGGCTATTATTTTTTCAACCACTCTGGGGCTTTCATGTTTTAGCTATGCAAAATAAGTACATATTTTTGTTAGGAAGCCTGCTGCATCATGAAATTCAGTATACCACAGACTTTGATCAATCTCATATAAAAGGTAACAGGGTGTCTTCTCAGAACATAATCCCAGCAGTCACTCTGTGGGGAAGGATTCCAAGGATAGTATTACATACAGAGACCAGTGGAGGTTTCATCCCAGACCTTATTTTTTTCCATTTCTCAAAGTCCAGCAATGTGCCTATATTTATGTCCCTTCTACATTACCACAGTTTTCTACAGGATTCTTCCCATCCATAAAAATATGCTATAGTATTTTACCTTTACTAAAAATAGAGGGCTGCCTTTGAACCTCCCTTTTCAAATACCTTTTTCTGTAATATAACCAATGACTTGAGTGGCCATGACGTGTAGGTGGTATGGGTTGAGTAGATCAAGACTCCTGTTTTCAAGGAGCTTACTTAACATTTTAAAGAGGAGACAAGCATATAATTTGAAGTAGTAAAAGTACTAATGAGAAAAGTAAACAGGGAAGGAGAAAAATGACTTAGTTGGGTGGGAGAGGACAGACTGTATTATAGAGGTGGCATCTCTCTAAAGCAGTGGCGATGATCAGAAACTAGAATGAAGTTAGGGAGGGAACCCTGCAAAGAATTCTAGAGACCTGAGAAGTGGGGGCAGGGAGATGGATTAGTATCTGGAGGGAACTTGAGGAAGGTATTTTTTCAGGATGGGAAATACTGCAGCTCTGTGTGTGTGTGCATGATGATAATCCCATTGAAGGGGGAAATTGGTGACGCAGTCAGTGCACAAATGGAAGCACTGGCCTTTGCAACAAGGCAGAGTGTGTGGGCATAGACGTAGGTAGGATAGGAGATTTTGTGACAAGAGGACAAGGTGGTCTCAATTTATATCCTCTGAACTAAAAAGCAAAATAATTAGAGTGAAGAAGTGGGAGGGGATGCTGGAGGCTTGAGAAGAGTATTGGTGTGAAGTAATCATCTTTGAAAGTAGGAACATCAGCTCACCAGGGTAATGTGGTATATTGCAGGGCATTCTTCAAGATCGACTTGAGATTTATGTTCCTAAGTTTAAAA